GGGGCATTTCCCCTTTTTAAAATGATAGGTTGCTGGAATGTTAGAGGACTAAATAGTCCTAATAAACAGGAGAAAGTCCTCTTCTTCTTGAAAAAGAATAATATTGAGCTCTGTGGATTACTAGAAACCAAAATCAGGGATAATAATTTCAAGGCAGTTGAAGGGAAGGTATGCCAGGGGTGGAACTCCTTCATAAATAACACTGCCCATCCTTTGGGTAGAATATGGATTTTATGGAAACCTAATAAGATAAGTGTAACTATTGTGGATCTAACAGATCAATGGATCCACTGCAGATGCAAATAGCTTAATGAGAATAGGGGTTTTCTTATTACATTTGTTTATGGACATAATGAAGCCTCTAGAAGAACAGATTTATGGAAAGACCTGGAGAAGCTAGCAGCTACATGTAATGAAGCTTGGTGTGTGTTGGGAGACTTTAATTGTGTACTGGATATGGAGGACAGAATTGGGGGTAACCCAGTATCCTGGGAAGAAACTAAAGAATTTAGGCAATGTAATCAAGAGTGTGGGCTTGAGAAAATTCCTGTTGATGGGCCTAAGTACACTTGGTCTAACAGACAAGGACCTGGTAAAAGGATTTATTCTAAAATAGATAGAGCATTAGCTAATGTGGAGTGGTTCATGAATTTTGATACAAAGGTGATAATTAGAGAGGAGGGATTATCAGATCACTCTCCTCTGATACTCAGAGAATGTAAGACTGGGAAGGGAAACTACCCTTTTAAATTTTGCAATATGTGGACTTTGGACCCTCAGTTTCCTAATATAGTGGGGAGAATCTGGAAATTGGATGTGGAAGGAAGACATATGTGGCAACTGGTTTCAAAACTCAAAAACTTGAAGGCAGATCTCAAAAAACTGAATAGGGACAAGTTCTCCTCCATCTTCCAATGCAATTTGTTGAGGGAGAAACTATTCCAAATTCAGGATATAATTAAAAGAGGTGATACTAGTGAAGCCATGATCAACAGGGAAATGGACACCATAAAGGAATTGAACTGGAATATGAAGGCAGTAAGACTTATGAAGTATCAAAGAGTGAAACAAGAATGGATTCAGGAGGGGGATAAGGATTCCAGATTGTTTCATGCCTGGGTTAAAAAGAGAAGACTGAACAACCACATTGGGTCTATTAAGAACTCTGAAGGGCAGGTGGTGGAAGGTAGAAATGGAGTGGCACAAACTATGATTGATTACTTTCAGAATTTATTTGGTATAACAGAAGGAACTGAAGATATTAATCTGAATATTATTAAGGAAGGTGGGGTCTTATCTGTTGACCAACAGCTCAACTTGATTGGCCATGTCTCTGCTAAGGAAGTGAAGAAGTGTATATTTGATATCCCTAGTTGCAAAAGCCCAGGTCCAGATGGCTATAGTAGTGGTTTCTTCCAAAACCAATGGGAAGTGGTTGGGGAACTGGTAACTAAAGCAGTGATGGATTTCTTCAAGGATGGGACTACTCTGAAGCAGATTAACCACACTAACATCTGTCTTATTCCCAAGACTGATTCACCAGAAAGCCCTAACGAATTCAGGCCCATTGCATGTTGCAACGTGATATAAAAGGTGATATCAAAGATCATTTGTAACAGATTAAAACTGGTCCTACCTCATATCATTAACACTAATCAGGGTGCTTTTGTTGAGGGGAGAGATCTTGTCCACAATGTTCTCTTATGCCAGGAGCTAGCTAGGGGTTATAACAGAAGACACATCAGTTCCAGATGTCTCATGAAACTGGACCTAAGGAAGGCTTATGACTCAGTTAGTTGGAAGGGGATGTTTCAGATAATGGAAGCTCTTAAATTTCCAGTGAAATTTGTCACATGGATTCAGTTCTGTGTGACAACTGCTGCATACTCGATACAACTTGATGGAGAAAGCTTTGGCCATTTCAAGGGAGGCAAGGGACTAAGACAAGGGGGATCCAGTCTCCCCCTTGTTATTCACCTTAATCATGGAGTATTTAACCAGAGCCCTTTCCTACTACTCAAAAAATGACAGATTTAAGTACCATCCTAGATGCAAGGCTCTTAGTTTAATCAATATTGTGTTTGCTGATGATTTAATTGTTGCTTGCAAGGCTGAAGTTGACTCCATTGAGTGTATCCTTTCCAGCCTTAGGCATTTCAAGGACACTATGGGATTAACTCTTAATTATAACAAGTCTCAAATCTTTCTGGGAGGAGTCACAAATGAGATCCAGAGTGAAATCCTGAAGAGAACTGGTATGGCTAAAGGAGCTTTTCCATTTAGATATCTAGGTGGACCTATAACTGCCTCCAGGATAAGTGAGAGAGATTGTGACGTTCTGGTGGATAAACTAACTAGGCAAATTACTTCCTGGACCACAAAAAATTTGTCCTATGCAGGTAGAGCCAAGTTGATTAACTCGGTTCTGTATGGTATTATTTCCTTCTGGAGTAGGATATTCTTGATACCTAATAAGGTAATGAAGAAAATCATGGCTCTCTGTAGGAATTATCTCTGGAGCTCTTCCCTTGGATCCACACCAAATATTTGAAGGGGGCTACTGTTTGGGAATACTCCCCCAAACAGGATGACTGTTATTACTGGAAGAAAATGCTCCAAAATAAAAAGCTGCTTCAAGGCATGACTACTATGACAAGTTATGACAGCAAGATTGGATATGATTGGCTTATAGGTATGCATACAAGGGTTGAATGGCATGACTTGGTTTGGAACAAATGGTCCATACCAAAACACAAATTTATTGCTTGGCTTATATGGAAAGGGAGAATTCTAACCAAGGACAGGCTGAGTAGATTCATGGACATTGATACCAAATGTGTGCTGTGTGAGGAGGAGGTAGAATCTGCTGACCACCTCTTCTGTACGTGCTCTTTTGTTGTATCAGTGCACAAGGCCCTTCGTCCTTGGTTGAGACATGATTTAACTTCTACATCACTAACTGAGCTGAAGGATAAAATGTGGAAAGGAAAGAATAGGAAGGACAGACTGTGGATTGCCTCGAGCATAGTAGCCTGCTGCTATTATGTGTGGAAGGCAAGGAACTCCAAGCTTCATAACAAGAGAGAAGAAACTAGTGCAAAAGTTGCTGAAGAGGTGAAGACTGTGTTATCCATGGCAGCGAACAGAGGGGACTGAATCAATGAAGATTAGCCATTGGTGGTGTTTGTAATTTGTAGTAGTTTGTGTTTGGTGTATTCTGCCCAGGTCTTGGGTTTGTATGAACGCTTTGGTTTTAATAGATTGTGCTTTGTTCAAAAAAAAAAAAAATAAACAAATCTAATCATCACAAGATGAAGAAGAAGAAGAGGAAGAAGAAGAAGAAGAAATGGACCTTGAAAGGGTAAAACAGAGGAGCAGAGGAAGTGAGTGGGGAAGTATCCACCTTCCCATGCTTATAAGGGTGGAAAAAGCCTAAGAAAACGGAGGAAAGCAGAGGACTGAGAAGAAATTAAGCAGGATATTGAGGAGGGGTAAAGAGGCGTTAAAGTGTGCCATGATATGAAACGAAATGCATAAAATAAAAACAAAGAGACGTACGCAGAAAAGGTGAAGTCTTTTTAATCCTTACAGCATAGGAAGGCCTTAGAACATTTCCCCCAAACCTAACTCTTGAGTGAGATGTAGTGGATTTGTTTACTTAGAAATTACAATTTCATCCAATAACAGGGGGAAAAACTTAAAATTTTCATATAGACCTGTATAAAATCCTCTACTAATTTTCCTATAGATTAAAATTTTCATATAAATCTCCATGGACTCTTGGGTGTGTGTGACTTTTTTTCTCTGTAAAAAGAGGAGCTGGCTATTTTTTGAGCAAAACTGAATCTATCATTGTAAAAAAATACTTACAAACAATACTTTAAAGATTTCAGAGTGAAATGACACCCCCATCTAATGTATCTTAATAAAACAAATGACAAGACCAAAAACTGTCAATTGTGAAGCCAATCATCAAATTAAAGTTCAAAAAACTACACACACATTATCCCACCATGCATGTGCAACCAATTAAACTGGAAACTGAAACAAGGGAAAAAAATCAACAAATCTAATCTGAAGAAGAAGAAGAAGAAGAAGAAATAGACCTTGAAAGGGTAAACAAGAAGAGCAGGAGTGAGGAAGTACCGAAAAGTAGCCATCTTCTGTTGCTTATAAGTGAGGAAAGCAAAGGATTGAGAAGAAATTCCGCAGAAAATTCAGGGGTGAAGAAGCATTAAAGCGTGAAAATAATATGTGTGGTTTTCACTTATTTTAACATAGTCTTTTCACTCCATAGAGCATAGGAAGGATTTAGAACATTTTACCCCCAAACCTAACTCTTTTCACTATTAATAACTGTGGACACTTGAGTGTGTGTGACTTTTTTTTCTGTAAAAAAATGATACAGTTGTTTTTTGAGCAAGAGTGAAGCTTCCATTGTAAGAAAATCTTTAGAAAGAGAACTTCAAAGATTTGAGAATGAAATGACACCCCCATCCATTATACGATAAAAAAGCAAATGACCAGACCAAAACTGTCTATTTGAAGTCAATAATCAAATTAAAGTTCAAAAAACCTACACACAGATAAACCCACCACGCGTATGCAATCAAATCAATTGGAAATTCAGACAAATTAAAAAAAATCAACAAATATAATCAGAAGAAGAAATGGACGTTGGGTGTGTGTGACATTTTTTTTCTGTAAAAAAAACTGAGTTGGTTGTTTTCTGAGCAAGACTGAATCTTCTATTGAAAAAAAATCCTTACAAACAGAGCTTTAAAGATTTGAGAATGAAATGACACCCCCGTCCAATGTATCATAAAAAATTGAATGACCAGAGCAAAAATGTTCAATTGTGAAGTCAATAATCACATTAAAGTTCAAAAACCCTACACACACATAACCCCACCATGCATTTGCAATCAATTAAAGTGGAAATTCAAACAAAGAAAAAAAATAAACAAATGTAATCAGAAGAAGAAAAATAAGAAATGGACCTTGAAAGGGCAGAAGAAGTGAGTGAGGAAGTTGCCACCTTCCCCTGCTTATAAGGGCCGAAAAAGCCTGAGAAAACAGAAGAAAGCAGAGGATCGAGAAGAAATTAAGCAGGATATTCAGGAGGGGTAAAGAGGCGTTAAAGAGTGAAGAATCCACCTTCCCTTACTTATAAGTAACAAATGAACAAAATACGGAGTAAAATAAAATTTTAATATGAACCTATATAAAATCTTCTACTAGCTGTTAACAACTAAAATCAACAAGTACCACCATTTTAAAGAAATAACATGAGTTTAGATAAGTTCACTATTGATCTCTCTTGGGTGTGTGTGAATTTATTCTCTGAATTATAAAAACAACTCACCATTTTTGAGCAAGATTGAATCTTCCATTGTAAAAATCCTTAAAAACAGTACTTTAATAATTTCACTGTGAAATGACACCCTCCATCGAATGTACCTTAAAAAAACAAAATAACCAGACCAGAAACTATCCAATTGTGAAGCCAATAATCAAATTATAGTTCAAAAGGCCTACACCCACACAATCCCACCATGCAAGTGCAAACAATTAAACTGGAAGTTCAAACCAAGAAAAAAAATCAACAAATCTAATCACCATCATCAGAAGAAGAAGAAAGGGACCTTGAAAGAGTAAAACAGAGGAAGAGAGGAAGTGAGTGGGGAAGTAGCCACCCTCCCATGCTAATAAGGGTGGAAAAAGCCTGAAAAAACGGAGGAAAGCAGAGGACTGAGAAGAAATTAAGCAGGATATTCAGGAGGGGTAAAGAGGCATTAAAGCGTGAAGAATCCACCTTCCCTTACTTATAAGTAACAAATGAACAAAACAAAATAAAATTTTAATATGGACCTATATAAAATCTTTTACTAACTGTTAACCACTAAAAATCAACAAGTATCACCATTTTAAAGCAATAACATAAGTTTAGATAAGTTCAATATTGATCTCTCTTGGGTGTGTGTGAATTCCTTCTCTGGATTATAAAAAAAACTCGCTGTTTATGAGCAAGATTGAATCTTCTGTAAAAATCCTTTAAAACAGTACTTGAAATTTTCAGTGTGAAATGACACCTCCATCCAATGTACCTTAAAAAAACCAAATGACCAGAGCAGAAACTATCCAATTGTGAAGCCAATAATCAAAATAAAGTTCAAAAGGCCTACCCCCACACAATCCTACCATGCGTGTGCAAACAATTAAAGTGGAAATTCAACCCAAGAAGAAAAATCAACAAATCTAATCATCACAAGAAGAAGAAGAAGAAGAAGAAGAAAGGGACCTTGAAAGGGTAAAGCAGAGGAGCAGAGGAAGTGAGTAGGGAAGTAGCCACCCTCCCTTGCTTATAAGGGCGGAAAAAGCCTGAGAAAACAGAGGAAAGGTTAAGATGGCAGTGAGGGGAAGACACAGCCTGTTAGCACGTGAGGGAACATATTAAAGTATAAAAATATTTCTTGGCCTTCAATCACAAAGTAGAGTTTTTGGTTGAGTTAATACTTTGACACTTAGCTTCTACTTTTCAAATCAAGGAGTAACAAGTGAATTCCATATTAATCGTCAAAAACACATATGTTAACTAGCACTTAGTTATTACTCCATATAAGTCAGTTGCAAATGATGAAACATTAAATGAAATATCCTATTACCTCTAAATTTCCCTTACCAAATAAATATAACACTAATGGGATATTTTCCTCTTTTGATCTTAAACTCAAAATTGGACAAGCTTAGTCCCTCATCAAGTATCATGATCAGGACTTTTTTGTTGTTAGATTTTAAAGGAATAATTTCTAGTTCCCAACTTTAGCTTTCAAATCATGTTGTTAGATTTTCAATTTTAGATTTGTATGGAAAGTGGTAGAACGTATTTGCAAATCATAATTATAAAAATGGTGTGTGTGGTTTTCATGCATTTAGTAGGAAGGCCTTAGAACACTTTTTACTCCTTAGGGCATAGGAAGGCCTTAGAACATTTTTCCCCAAACCTAACTCCTGAGTGAGATATAGGAATGGATTTGTTTTCTTTGAAACTACAATTTAATCCAATGACAGGAGAAATAACTTAAAACTTTAATATAGACCTCCATAAAATCTTCTACTAACTGGTAACCACTCAAGATCAACAAAAAGTATCACCAATTTTATCGATAGTATAATTTTGGAGAAGTTCACTATAATAAGTGTGGACTCTTGGGTGTGTGTCACTTTTTTTTTTCTGTAAAAACATGAGATTGTTGTTTTCTGAGCAAGACTGAATTTTCTATTGTAAAAAAATACTTACAAACAGAGCTTTAAAGATTTGAGAATGAAATGACACCCCCATCCATTGTATCATAAAAAATCGAATGACCGGAGGAAAACTGTTCTATTGTGAAGTCAATAATCAAATTTAAGTTAAAAAAAACCCTGCACATACATAGCCCCACCATGCATTTCAAATCAATTAAAGTGGAAATTCAAACAAAGAAAAAATCAACAAATGTAATCAGAAGAAGAAAAATAAGAAGAGGCGTTAAAGCGTGAAAGGGCGTTAAAGCGTGAAGAAGTGAGTGAGGAAGTTGCCACCTTCCCTTACTTATAAGGGCCGAAAAAGTCTGAGAAAATGGAAGAAAGCAGAGGATTGAGAAGAAATTAAGCAGGATATTCAGGAGGGGTAAAGAGGCGTTAAAGCGTGAAGAATCCACCTCCCCTTACTTATAAGTAAGAAATGAACAAAACTAAATAAAATTTTAATATGGACCAAAATAAAATCTTCTACTAACTGTTAACCACTAAAATCAACAAGTACCACCATTTTAAAGCAATAACATAAGTTTAGATAAGTTCACTACTGATCTCTCTGGGTGGGTGTGAATTTATTTTCTGGATTATTAAAAAACCCACTGTTTTTAAGCAAGATTGAATCTTCCATTGTAAAATTTCTTAAAAACAGTACTTGAAGAATTTCAGTGTAAAATGACACCCTCCATCGAATGTACCTTAAAAAAACCAAATGACCAGACCAGAAACTATCCAATTGGGAAGCCAATAATCAAATTAAAGTTCAAAAGGCATACACCCACACAATCCCACCACGCATGTGCAAACAATTAAACTGGATTTTCAACCCAAGAAGAAAATCAACAAATCTAATCATCACAAGAAGAAGAAGAAAGGGACCTTGAAAGGGTAAAGCAGAGGAACTGAGTGGGGAAGTAGACCCTCCCATGCTTATAAGGGCGGAAAAAGCCTGAGAAAACGGAGGAAAGCAGAGGATTAAGAAGAAATTAAGCAGGATATTCAGGAGGGGTAAAGAGGCGTTAAAGCGTGAAGAATCCATGAAATGAAATTAATAAAATAAAAACAAAACAAAACAAAAAAACATACGCAGAAAAGGCGAAGAGGGCAACGGACAACCCACGAGGATTGATGTCCAGCTCCATCTGAGATCATCTCCATACACTTTTTTTTTTTGCTTTGAAACGCACCACCCGCGAGGTGTTAAATGTAACCATTGCTTTTTAGGTTGTTGTTTTTTAAGTAAATCTCGGTCTTAAGCAGGACATTGATGGGTGAAGAAGGGTTAAAGCGTGAAGAAGCATATACGTTAACTAGCACTTAGTTATTTTAAGTCAGTTGCAAATCATGAAACATTAAATGAAGTATCCTATTACCTCTAAATTTCCCTTACCAAATAAATATAACATTAATGGGATATTTTCCTGTTTTGATCCTCAACTCAAAATTGGACAAAATTAGTCCCTCATCACGTACCATGATCAAAACATTTGTGTCGTTAGATTTTAAAAGGATAATTTCCAGTTCCCAACTTTAGCTTTCAGGTCATGTTGTTAGATTTACAGTTTTAGATTTATATGGAAAATGATAGGACGTATTTCCTAACTGGTAACCACTCAAAATCAACAAAAAGTAACACCATTTTTATCAATACATTAATTTTGGATGAGTTCACTATTAATAACTGTGGGCGCTTGAGTGTGAGTGACTTTTTTTTTCTGTAAAAAAATGAGATGGTTGTTTTTTGAGCAAGAGTAAAGCTTCCATTGTAAAAAAATCCTTAGAAAGAGAAATTCAAAGATTTGAGAATGAAATGACACCCACATCCATTATACCATAAAAAAGAAAATGACCGACCAAAACTGTCCATTCGTGAAGTCAATAATCAAATTAAGTTCAAAAAACCTACACACACGTAAACCCACCATGTGTGTGCAATCAATGCAATTGGAAATTAAGACAAAGTAAAAAATTCAACAAATCTAATTAGAACTTAGAAGAAGAGGTGGACCTTGAAAGGGTTACGCAGAGGAGCAGAAGAAGTGAGGGAGGAAGTTGCCACCTTCCCTTACTTATAAGGGCCGAAAGAGCGTGAGAAAACGGAGGAAAGCAAAGGATTGAGAAGAAATTAAGCAGGATACTCAGGGAGTAAAGAGGCGTTAAAGCGTTAAGAGTCCATGAAAAGAAATGCATAAAATAAAACAAAAATGTAAGCAGAAAAGGTTAAGATGGCAGTGAGAGCAAGACACAACCTGTTATCACGTGAGGGAACATATTAAAGTATAAGAATATTTCTTGGCCTCCAATCACAAACTAGAGTTTTTTGTTTAGTTAATACTTTGACACTTAGCTTCTACTTGTCAAATCAAGGAGTAATAAGTGAATTCCATATTAATCGTCAAAAACACATATGTTGACTAGCACTTAGTTATTACTACATATAAGTCAGTTGCAAATGATGAAACATTAAATGAAATATCCTATTACCTCTAAATTTCCCTTACCAAATAAATATAACACTAATGGGATATTTTCCTCTTTTGATCTTAAACTCAAAATTGGACAAGATTAGTCCCTCATCAAGTATCATGATCGGGACCTTTTTGTCGTTAGATTTTAAAGGGATAATTTCTAGTTCCCAACTTTAGCTTTCATATCATGTTGTTAGATTTTCAATTTTAGATTTATATGGAAAGTGGTAGAACGTATTTGCAAATTCTAATTAAGAAAATGGTGTGTGTGGTTCTCACGTATTTTAGTATGGTCTTTTTACTCCTTAGGGCATAGGAAGGCCTTAGAACACTTTCCCCCAAACCTAATGAGTGAGATATAGTAACGGATTTGTTTACTTAGAAACTACAATTTAATCCAATAACAGGGGAAACTACATAAAACTTTAAAATAGACCAGCATAAAATCTTCTACTAACTGGTGACCACTCAAGATCAACAAAAAGTATCACCAATTTTATCAATAGCATAATTTTGGATAAGTTCACTATTAATAAGAGTGGACTCTTGGGTGTGTCATGTGTGTGACATTCTTTTTCTGTAGAAAAACATGAGATGGTTGTTTTCTGAGCAAGACTGAATCTTCTATTGTAAAAAAATACCTACAAACAGTGCTTTAAAGATTTGAGAATGAAATGACACCCCCATCCAATGTATCATAAAAAATTGAATGACTGGAGCAAAACTGTTCAATTGTGAAGTCAATAATCAAATTAAAGTTCAAAAACCCTACACACACATAACCCCACCATGCAGTTGCAATCAATTAAAGTGGAAATTCAAACAAAGAAAAAAAATCAACAAATGTAATCAGAAAAAGAAAAATAAGAAATGGACCTTGAAAGGGCAGAAGAAGAGAGTGAGGAAGTTGCCACCTTCCCTTACTTATAAGCGCCGATTGCCGCCGAAAAAGCCTGAGAAAACGGAAGAAAGCAGAAGATTGAGAAGAAATTAAGCAGGATATTCAGAAGGGGTAAAGAGGCGTTAAAGCGTGAAGAATCCACCTTCCATAACTTATAAGTAACAAATGAACACAACAAAATAAAATTTAAATATGGACCTATACAAAATCTTCTACTAACTGTTAACCACTAAAAATCAACAAGTATCCCCATTTTAAAGCAATAACATAAGTTTAGATAAGTTCACTATTGATCTCTCTTGGGCATGTGTGAATTTCTTCTCGGGATTTTAATAATGTAAAAAAAGAACTCTCTGCTTTTAAGCAAAAATTGTAAAAATCCTTTAAAAAAGTACTTTAAAAATTTCAGAGTGAAATGACACCCTCCATCCAATGTATCTTAAAAAAATGAAATGACCAGACCAAAAATGTTCAGTTGTGAAGCCAATAATCAAATTAAAGTTCAAAAAACCTACACACACATACTCCCACCATGCTTGCGCAAACCATTAAACTGGAAGTTCAAACCAAGAAAAAAATTAACAAATCTAATCATCACAAGAAGTAGAAGAAGAAGAAGAAAGGGACATTGAAAGAGTAAAACAAAGGAGCAGAGGAAGTGAGTGAGGAAGTAGCCACCCTCCCTTGCTTATAAGGGAGGAAAATTCGTAGGTGAAATTTAGAAAAAGAAACAATCGATTATTATTCCATTGTAAAAAAATCTTTAAAAACAGTACTTTAAAGATTTCAGAGTGAAATGACCCTATACAGGCATCCAATGTACCATAAAATTAATCAAATGATCAGACCAAAAATTGTCCAATTGGGAAGCCAATGATCAAACTAAAGTTCAAAAAAAACTACACACACATAATCCCACCATGCAAGTGCAATCAATTAAACTGGAAATTAATTCAAACCAAGAAAAAAACAAAAAAATCTAACCAGAAGAAGAAGATCGAAGAAGAAATGGACCTTGAAAGGGTTAAGCAGAGGAGGAGCAGAAGGAGTGAGTGAGGAAGTGGGTGCCGCCATGCCTGGCTAAAATTATAAGGGGCCGAGAAAGGCTGAGAAAACGGAAGAAAGCAAAGGAACGGGAAGAAATTCAGGAGGGAATTCAAGAAAAGAGGTGTCGTCCGGCCTCCGCCCTCGCTAGCAAGTAACGTAACACCGCTGTGACAGTGGCAGCGTCTGTCCAAAACTCCGTCTGAGATCACCTCCATCTCTTACTCATACTATCCCCCTTTTTTTGGTGCTATGGAGCCGATGGATGTATTACCCAAATCAATTCGAAATAGAGTCCTTGAATTGTTTGAAGCTTTCCCCTCAATATTGAGTACTTTTTACTTACAAAAAAAATTAAAAGTAAATTCTTTAAATAATACTCCGTATTCAATGATTATGTTTTTTTTCCAAATTAGCCTCTAAAGCATGAAGAAGCATATAAGTTAACTAACACTTACTCCCTCCGTCCCACTGTCTTTGTCCACTTACCTTTTGGCACACCATCCAATACACTTCTTTAATCCATTTTATCTTGTAATTTGTATATTAAAAAATTATAAAAATTATATATTAATAATCTATATGTTAAGACAAATCAAACAAGATCACACATGACTATTTTTAGGCTTACACATTGAGAGAATTTGATGAGTCAAAGTGCTTAGATGAACAGTTCCAAAAGTCAAAAGTGGACAAAGACAGTGGGACGGAGGTAGTAGTTATTATAAGTCAGTTGCAAATCATGAAACATTAAATGAAGTATCCTATTACCTCTAAATTTCCCTTACCAAATAAATATAACATTAATGGGATATTTTCTTGTTTTGATCATCAACTCAAAATTGGACAAAATTAGTCCCTCATCACGTACCATGATGAAAACATTTTTGTCGTTAGATTTTAAAAGGATAATTTCCAATTCCCAACTTTAGCTCTCAGATCATGTTGTTAGATTTAGAGTTTTAGATTTATATGGAAAATGATAGGACGTATTTACTAACTGGTAACCACTCAAAATCAACAAAAAGTAACACCAATTTTATCAATAGCATAATTTTGGATGAGTTCACAATTAATAACTGTGGACGCTGGAGTGTGAGTGACTTTTTTTTTCTGTAAAAAAATGAGTTGGTTGTTTTTTGAGCAAGAGTAAAGCTTCCATTGTAAAAAAATCCTTAGAAAGAGAACTTCAAAGATTTGAGAATGAAATGACACCCCCATCCATTATACCATAAAAAAAGAAAATGACCGACCAAAACTGTCTATTCGTGAAGTCAATAATCAAATTAAGTTCAAAAAACCTACACACACGTAAACCCACCATGTGTGTGCAATCAAATCAAATGGAAATTCAGACAAAGTAAAAAAAATCAACAAATCTAATCAGAGGAAGAAATGGACCTTGAAAGGGTTACGCAGAGGAGCAGAAGAAGTGAGTGAGGAAGTTGCCACCTTCCCTTACTTATAAGGGCCGAAAGAGGCTGAGAAAACGGAGGAAAGCAAAGGACTCAGAAGAAATTAAGCAGTATACTCAGGGAGTAAAGAGGAGTTAAAGCGTTAAGAGTCCATGAAAAGAAATGCATAAAATAAAACAAAAATGTAAGCAGAAAAGGTTAAGATGGCAGTGATGGCAAGACACAACCTGTTATCACGTGAGGGAACATATTAAAGTATAAAAATATTTCTTAGCCTCCAATCACAAACTAGAGTTTTTTGGTTGAGTTAATACTTTGACACTTAGCTTCTACTTGTCAAATCAATGAGTAATAAGTGAATTCCATATTAATCGTCAAAAACACATATGTTGACTAGCACTTAGTTATTACTACATATAAGTCAGTTGCAAATGATGAAACATTAAATGAAATATCCTATTACCTCTAAACTTCCCTTACCAAATAAATATAACACTAATGGGATATTTTCCTCTTTTGATCTTAAACTCAAAATTCGACAAGATTAGTCCCTCATCAAGTATCATGATCGGGACCTTTTTGTCGTTAGATTTTAAAGGGATAATTTCTAGTTCCCAACTTTAGCTTTCAAATCTTGTTGTTAGATTTCCAATTTTAGATTTATATGGAAAGTGGTTGAACGTATTCTTTCACTTTCTTCCCTAATCTAATTATGTAGAATACGAATCTAAATTAGGTATTGAATCCCGCTATTAATCAACCCATGATTCATAATCGTAGCTTACACCAAAGTAAAATTTGTTAAAAAATCTACTCTGCATTATACTTTCTACTTGCCAAATCGGTATATGATATATATAAAGACGTAGTGAAATTCGTAAAAAAAAAAAGCTTTGTACAGAAAATTTTAACTCAAAATCCGGCATGAAACACAATTATACATTTAAAATGGAAGGATTCATAGGTTGCTTTTATAAAGATGACATTTTGATAGAAAGCTCTTTATCAAGTGTTAAACAAATAAGTTTCAACAATTGTCAGTAACTTTATAACATGTTTGGTAGACCATTACTTTGCTTCACTGGGACGGCTAGAAACAGAAAAAAATGCCCTCTAGTTTCTACTGTCTACGTTGAAAGAGACCATTCCACAAATTAAAAGCAAAACATACGGAGTATAAAACACCTGGAGCAGTTCAACACAAACAACAAAATCAGCATCACCCTCCAACTCCTCTGCATTTTTAAGACAACTCCATCTTGCCTCCGAACCCAGTAGCTTGCAATTCTCAAAGAATGACTGAAATACACAGTGTAATTGCTAAGTCGTTAGTGATGTTTATTCAAATTTTCCAAGTTAAAGATGCAGTAGATGAATTACATTTATGTGCACTGATTGTATATATTTAAATATATCCTTTATATCAATCTCGGAACCCTAAGAATTCGTTCAAAGCAATGAATATCATTACCAAATAAGAACCCTAAGAATTTGTGAAAAATCAGAATAATAAAAAAATTAACACTTGACGCCATGGATTAAATTAAATGAAGGAAAGAATACTTATATATGGAAAGAATAATGATAAACCGGAAATAGGGTTCTAATTGCGAGCAATTGGCTATTACCGTTTCGAATTGAGGAAGGGAACTTGCGATCGTTGGTGAAGGAAAGCTGATGTTGTGGATTTTTGGTCGACAATCAAAAGGAAAGGAGATGGCGAAGGGCTGAGGAAATGGCGGATTTCTAGCGATGAAGATGGATAGGCCTGGAATTGGAACGATGAAGAAGCTTCCGCTTGGAAAACGCACTGCAGGGACTGCTGATTTGTCAAAAAAATAAACACGTGTCATCATTATATTAAAGAATTATCAGTGACACAAAATCTGAATAATGAGTTGACATAGCGTATCTAAACTCTAAAGTATTGGAGTTCCACAGATGAATGCTACTACTTCAAGGAATCCACACTAGCATTCTAAACGGAATGAATCAAATCGAATACTGAGATTTAAATTTGTAGTTATTTCATTTAGTTATATATTTCGAGTAGTTTATACGGAGTACTTCCTAAGTTTGTAATATATCAATTAGTTTAATTAATTTAAAATTAACTTCCTCAATCTCATACTCCCTCCGTCCCAATTTAAATCGCATGTTTTGACTTTTGGACATATTTAAAAAAAATAAAAAATAAAGTTGATTTTCCGAAATTATCATTACTTTTTAGGAGGAGTGATAATGAATAAGAAGATAAGGTGAAGAAGAGTGACTTATTTTAGGAGTAGTTTAGGTATTTTATTTTTAAAAGTTCACGAAAACAACTAACAGACAACTTATTTTGGGACGGAGAAAAAAGGCTAACAGGCAATTTAAAATGGGACAGAGGGAGTAAAATTTTTCAAAGACGAAAAATGGCGTGCTTTACAATTTTAAAGGAAATCTTAGGATTTTTCATCTTTAGTTCTTTATTGTCAAATATTACGCATGTGGTCCTTTTTTATGGATATTTTTTCACAAATAATTCTTTTTTGACTTTCCATGATGTTGGTATTAATTTTAGGACTAAAAGTTTAATTTGACATCAAGTCTATTTAGTGGCGTATTCTGATGTCGGTTAAACGACAACACAACAATATGACTATTAGTGCACTAGGATTCTGAAGATTATAGTTTTAGTTGACAACGGCTGTGATTCACAAGAAACGCATCAGGAGCGGCATCTAAAATTGTGTATGACAAAAAAAATTTGATCATGATAAAATCACATTTTTTCATTATTTGTAATATGGTAAAATATGATATGTAAGATAGATGAGTTATAATTCAAATACTACGGAGTATACCAAAATTATACGGAGTATTTTCTTAAGGTGAGTTGTTTTTCAACTTTGAAAAATTTTAAGAGACAGACGAAATACTTATTTTACAACGACGCAAAAAGTTGTTCTACTACAGCAAATACTCAAATACTCCGGGTAAAGAGTTTAATGACAATAAAATAATTTCAAAGTTCAAACATTTACTCACTCTGTTCCAAAATATTCTGTATTTTACATTTTACTCAAAGCAAATTGAAATTTTAAATTTTTTTCAATTCATTTTATTTAAAGATTAGTATAGAAATTAAAATAAACTTACATATTTAAAAATTGACTCAAAACTTCTACAGAACAAAAAGATACCAAGAAAACAATATTTTTTTGACCAAAATAGAATGAATTTGATTCTCCATCATCTTAGTACTCCACCGTCCCTATTTGGATTGCAAAATGTGGATTACGTGGTAAAATTTCACAATTTTTAAATTATTTTATTTAAATAACTACATCAAAAATTCTACTGGTACAAAACAAGAGTTGACAAGATTATTTTATTTTATCAAATAATCAATGAAAACACACAAACGAACAAAAGTTATCGAGAAGAGATAGAAAATAAAGAGAGCATATTTTTATCATTCTTCTTTTGATTATTGGCTTCACAACTGAACATTTTTTTCTTCTTTTTTTCTCTCTCTAACCAAACAAGAAAAAAACATTCTTCATATAATTTTCTCACATGAGATATGATACATGATACATGATTGGATACAATGTCGTCGTTTCATCCATGTCTACCTAATGCGATAAGGCTAGCTTTGGTGTTGCTCTTTTTCAAATTCCTTCACACATAACGCAACTATTCCAAAAAAAGGCCAGTTTGTAAAGCACAGTAGCCACTAATTGATAGCTTATAGAGAAATGCTTTGCTTCGCGCCCTACAAAGCATGCTCCTGACGTGGGAGAGCGAGTTCAAGAAATGGAACGCCGAAGACCGTTCCACAACCTCAACGGTAACTCGCTCTCTGGCGAACAAAGACGTCGCCTGCTCCACAAAAAACGACTCAAAGGGAAGAACGTAAACCGGCTTTTGAAGGTTTATTCCTAGGCAAAAGGGCCCAGAATTCTCGGGGGATCCACCAAGTTTAGGGGACCGACCAAGTTTGGAGGGAGGAAAGTAGGAAAACATCCCACCACTAGAGGGTATAATAACACCAATTGGACTTTGATCACGTGTTCCGATCCATTTCGAATAGGGCCAAAAAAAGCGGGACGGGAGGCGTGCCAATGAGGATGATGTCTTGAGATGTGGAGGAAGCCGCCTGTTTCTCGTGCTTCTTCTATGATCATACTGCATGCATATAACACACATTCACTCAAACCTTTTCAAATTTCCAAACATTACCTCAAAAAAAGATTTAGTGAATGACAAAATAATGTTTAGAGAACTCATGGTGAGGCGTTTGATATTGTTTAAAGAAAGATGTTGGTTTTTATAGAAAGTGTGAGCACCATAATGAATAACTAATAAATATAATTACATGCAATACAAAATATTAAACAGACACAATTCTAAGCTGATAAACTCAAGTGCCAAGTCCCTTTCTTTTCTAAATTGAGATGTTACATATACCATGCAAATGCACCATTTTGTAGCAAGTAAATGAAATAATCAATAGAATAATTTCTTATTACCCTAATCAAATCAGTTTTCAGTTGTATGCAATAAATATGTACCTATACGTAATGTTAGGGAAGTGGCAAATACAATAGACATAATCCATGGGTGTTTTGACCTTACTGTTATGCACGATTTCTCCCAAAATTTGATCAATTGTGGTACCCTGCATAGCATGAATTTGGAACTTAGGGCAGTTTCACCATAAAAAGAAACAAGAAAGGAGTTAGAAACCCAAACCTTGGTAACCCCGCTTTCTCGGACCTCAACAGATCGGGTACCTTGAACAACATCTACGGGGTCATTTGAGATTGGACCAGTCCAAAGATGTTGCAACAAGTCTTTTGCTTAAAGCCTCCTGAACTCAACATCTGATTGTAGCAGTTTAATACATATGTTATAATAATGTTCACTATTTTTGGTTTTCAGATGGGTGGGAACAGAAAATGAGAAAATTACCAGCATATTTATAGTTCCACACGAGTGATGTCTCACGAATCTCAAAATGTGAGCCAGGTATCCTCTCGGCGAAATACTCAAATACATGCTGAAGATTATGGTATAAAAAAATATGTAAATGTGAAAGAGCTTTACAAAGTTAATGCAGTTAGTGATTTGAACATGTTTATGAATGCACCTTCACACTGTCAACCCAATCCATGTTCAGATTCTCTGGCATTGTTATCATCCAGCTACTTTTAGTAAAACGCAAAAACATCCCATGTTCGGTGGCTAATCACATGTTATATCCACTAAAGTTCTGCCCACAAAAGAAGAAGGTTAGAAACCAAGAATTTACCAGATCAAATAACCTTAACATCCTAAGGACACAACCTCATCAAGAACATTTCTGTCACTGCCACTAAGGACGACAACTGTGGTGTTTGGATCATCACATAGCCTCTTTAGTGGTTCTTTCAGGTCTGGATGCAACTTGGGGTCCATATACTTTATCTGATCTGCTCTCCTTTCTTGAGTACCAGTGGTTCATTTAATGCTGCATTGAATCCCTATAAGAGAATATGAAACTCTTCATTCAGTTTAGTAACAAAATGGAAGCATATGCAAGGATGGCATTTGCGAAAATGGCTTACCAGCATCAGCAATCAATTTATGACTGCATATAATGCTCTATAGCAGCATTGGTAGGAAGCACGGGAGGTATTTGACTGGTCTTCAGCTTAGCTTCAATTTTAGCAACTTCTATTTTCTGAAATGAAGTAAACTCAACTCAATGATACTATTGTTGAAGCTAAGCTGAGGACCAGTCAAATACCTCCCGTGCTTCCTACCAATGCTGCTATAGAGCATTATATGCAGTCACAAATTGATTGCTGATGCTGGTAAGCCATTTTCGCAAATGCCATCCTTGCATATGTTTCCATTTTGTTACTAAACTGAATGAAGAGTTTCATATTCTCTTATAGGGATTCAATGCAGCATTAAATGAACCACTGGTACTCAAGAAAGGAGAGCAGATCAGATAAAGTATATGGACCCCAAGTTGCATCCAGACCTGAAAGAACCACTAAAGAGGCTTGAGTATATGGAAGGAGAGCAGATCAGATAAAGTATATGGACCCCAAGTTGCATCCAGACCTGAAAAAACTACATGCTTGAGTATTAACAAAGCTAAATCACAAATCATTTTTGGAGGGGTTGATAAAAGAACTCAAGATAGGCTTCAGAAATTGACTAATATTCCCATTGGAGAGCTTCCACTCAGCCCAGTAACAGCTGCAAGGGTTAGTGATAAAGAATGTGAGAGGTTAGTACAAAACATTACATCAAAGATTAATTCCTGGCCATCAAAACATTTGTCGTATGCGGGAAGATGCAGACTAGTAGGTAGTGTTCTACATGATATCATGACCTTTTGATGCAAATTATTCATTATACCTACCAAGGTCATGAGGAGGGTACAAAGCATATGTAGAAACTTTTTGTGGGGAGCTACAGCCAATTACACCAAAAGACCCTTGGTTAACTGGGAAGAGGTTTGCTTACCCAAAACTTATGGGGGACTGGGTTTGAGAAATATGGTGCTTTGGAATAGAGCTTATATTCAGAGCTATTGGTGGGATGTGGCTAGTGACAAGAACTTATGGGTCAAATGGATCCATGAAAGATACATTAAAAATGACATTGATAACTGTATAGTAAAGAGTGATTGTTGTTTCTACTAGAAGAAAATCATACACAATAGGAAATGGTTTGAGAATATGGTGCTCACCAAGGAATATACAACAGAACAGGGATATGCTTGGCTCCTGGGATTGAAGAACAAACCAGACTGGTACTCACTTGTCTGGAACAAACTGTCTATCCCTAAGCATCAAATAATCCAATGGCTGATTTGCAGGGACAGATTGAGTGTTAAAACCAGAATTGGAAGGTTCATTGCTATAGACGAAAGATGTGAACTATGTGGCCAAGGAGAGGAAGATTTAAATCACCTTTTCTGTACAAAATTGAAGGGCTGGATGTGGAAGAGGTTAGGAAGAATCTGTTGAAGATGAGAGGTAAGAGCAGACAAAAAGCGATCAGTTGCTACGCTGCCATATGTTATCATATTTGGCGAGCTAGAGATAAACTTTTATACTCCAAAAGCAGCACATTAGAGGAGGAGATAATCCACTGGATATGCTATCAACTGAGCTCTTACTGGGAAGGGAGGAAGAAATAGGGAGGACAGACGCCATGTTTGCTCAATTACATGTAATGGTCTTTCTTGTATGATGTAAAACCCAGTTTTGGTGATTTGAATGAAGATGTGCATTTGTTTCAAAAAAAAATGAGAAAGAAAAAGAAAGGAGAATGCTAAAAACCCACCACTCACACCCCATGCATGATAATACAGATAATTTTATACTTGCACAAGATGATAATCGTTTGTATTGATCACAAATGATTAGTCTATGTAAATATAAAATCCTTTATATTTCCATGCGTGGAGACGGAGGAGACACTCTAGCACGGTCCGAAAAGAAATTACGGAGTATAAGTAAGGTGTCAAGAGTGGGGCAATTGGGCAAGGATGGTGGGTTTGTAGCACAACTTTACTTTCTTGTTTTGTCCTTTCGGGTACGTTTTTCTCTCATTTTTTTCTCACCAAAATGGAATATATTTGATTTTCTAACCTTTTTGTACATTTTATTTTTTTCATTTTTTTATTTTTCTTTTCTTTTCCTTTGTAACCAAACAAGAAAAAACATCTTCCAACTAATTTTCTCACCGCAAATATGATACGGAGTACAAGATAGAGCACAATGACATCTGAAGGTTTATACCTGGTCAAAAGGGGCCGGGATCACCTACGGCCTCTTTGAAACGATGGTCGGAGATGGTAGCGGGAGATTGTACAAGAAGGATGACGAAAAGCTCTGGAAGATTCATTCTTTTGAAGTTTATAGGGCTACCCCCGCGGTGTATCATCCTCTCCGGCACTCCGTCCCAGAACAACTTCCACGAGCTCAACAATATGCTCCCCCTCGTCCGCCTCAGGTTTAGGGCGGTGGGACCCACCAATCTGGCAGTGGGAGGAAAGTTGGAAATCCTCCCACCACCATAGGGAATAATAACAACAATTGGGCTTCGATCACGTGCTCCATTTGGAATAGGGCCAAAAAGAATGGGGCGGGAGGGGTTAAGACCACATAGTTGGGTGGCGGGAGACGTGCCGATGAGGATGAGGTCTTGAGATGTGGAGGAAGCCATGGTGGCCCCTGTTTCTCCTGTTTCTTCTATCAAGTACTCCGTAGAAGATATTGTTGTAGCTTGACTCCGTGGATGTCGGGGTTCCAAATCCCAGGACGATTGGTTCATACTGCATGCATATGACACACATTCATTCAAACCTTTAAAAATTTCCAAACATAACCTCAAAAAAGATTCAGTGAAGAGAATGGTGAGGATAGCTCACAAACCCTCATGTAGAGATATAGAGACTTGGGTAAGGATGAATATCTTGTCTTAAATGGAAGAACCTGAAAAGTGAAAACAGATACTGTTATCCTGCAATATGATTTAAGAATATGTACATGAACAATGGCTTTCAAAATATGATCATAATTTAAAGCTCAGTCAACATACTAAGAATCAATGATCTTCTTATACAATTAAAACCAACTCTTCATGTGTTCCCTTTTTTTATTATCCTTCCCAAAAGAGTTTGTTATCGTTTGATTGAAGAGAAACACTGGTATTTATAGAATGTGTGAGCACCATTGTGAATAATTAAATATAATACAAGCAAAAAACTAAGCAGGCACGTTTCCACACCGCTAATCTCAAGCGCCAAGTGTTAGTGGTTTTCACTTATTTTAGTCTAGTCTTTATACTCCTAGCATAGGAAGGCCTTAGAACATTTACCATCCAACCTAACTCTTGGATCAGATATCATGGATTTGGTTGTTTCCTTTGCTTAAAAGCTA